TAGTTAGGGAAGAATATTTTAATTAATGCCTTATACACATTGTGTATCATTTTCAGAGTCTTAAGACAGTAGAGTAAGCTTTTCAAGGGTAAGAAAAGTGTCTTATTAGGGTCTCAAAGCACCCAAGAACACTAATAGTATGCCATTGCAGACAGTGGGCACTCACCAAAATGTGTGCACTGAGCTGGGGAAGAAAAAGTATTACAGTGAGGTGATAGTTGGGAGAGTTATTCTCTGAAACCTAAACAAATGCAAAGGCATCGTGGTGTTGGATTTAACAAATTAATAAAATTAATTCTGGCCCAATTAATAACACCAATAGATACTCGTTTTTTTCCATTTTTTTTTTTTTACGTTACTGACTTTAAAAGTAGGTTAATATTAATTCTTTTTACTTTTTTTTTTCCTTCACTGGTTTGTTTTTTTACAAAGACTTTATACAACCTCATTTCAAAATGAAGGCTTTTATTTGGACCCTAAGTGTGTTATTCTTCCTACTAATGGGCATTGGACATTGCAGAGGAGGACAGTTCAAAATAAAAAAAATAACCCAGAGGAGATACCCTCGTGCCACAGATGGTAAAGAGGAAGCAAAGAAATGTTCATACACATTCCTGGTGCCTGAACAAAAAATTACAGGGCCAATTTGTGTCAATACCAAAGGGCAAGATGCAAGTACTATTAAAGATATGATCACCAGGATGGACCTTGAAAACCTGAAGGATGTGCTCTCCAGGCAGAAGCGGGAGATAGATGTCCTGCAGCTGGTGGTGGATGTAGATGGAAACATTGTAAATGAGGTAAAGCTGCTGAGAAAAGAAAGCCGGAACATGAACTCCCGTGTTACTCAACTCTATATGCAGCTATTACACGAGATTATCCGTAAGAGGGATAATTCACTTGAACTTTCCCAGTTGGAAAATAAAATCCTCAATGTCACTACAGAAATGTTGAAGATGGCAACAAGGTACAGGGAACTAGAGGTGAAATATGCTTCCTTGACTGATCTCGTTAATAACCAGTCTGTGATGATCACTTTGCTGGAAGAACAGTGCTTGAAGATATTTTCCCGACAAGACCCCCATGTGTCTCCTCCTCTTGTCCAGGTGGTGCCACAACATATTCCTAACAGTCATCCGTATACTCCTGGACTGCTGGGGGGTAATGAGATACAGAGGGATCCAGGTTATCCCAGGGATTTAATGCCACCACCTGATCTGGGGACTTCTTCCACCAAAAGTCCTCTCAAGATACCACCAGTAACGTTCATCAATGAAGGTGAGTTACCTCTTACCGTTAAAAATGGAAGCATGAGGTTAGTATGTTTTACGGTTTATGAAACAATGCACACAATAAATGGCTTACTCTTTGTTTTGGTGACGTAATTATACACGAACATTTTTGTTTTCTATTAATCAAGAATTGAACTTAAATACATCTCTCAGGTCTGAGTCTAAGAGTTTCTAAAAACCGAGTATTCTGTGAGAAAAGTATTGTCTTCCATCCAAATTCTCACAATCTAAGTTACCAGCATTAAGACAGGAATGAGTCCATAATCCACTTCTAACCTCTACAACCCCCCATCGGCCTCCAGCTAGATCATCTAGCTGCTCAGCAATCCTTCTGTTTACCTCTTGCTGCTCTCCCCATTTTCCTCCTCTCCAAAAGGAACATTTAAAAATTTGCTTTCACTCTCCTTAAGCCTCTCATTACACCTCCTCCTTACCTCTGCTCTCAGAAATGTGTCATCTACTCCTGCACTGAGATGAAGTCTACTCAGGCCCTAGGTTCCTTGTTTCTTCCCTATTTTGGAAACATCTACACAACACCCATGCCTTCTTGCCCTCAGTGTTAAGAGGAAAAGGTATCCCTTCTACTTTCCAGGGCTAAACAAACTACAATTTGTATCTTATACCCACATACGTATAATTACATTTTCACTATGGTTAAACAAAACAAAACAAAACCTAAAATTGATCCCACTATCCCTACCTCTATTTCTTAATTTTGTTCCTTCTTCCATTCCTCTTCCCTCCCTCCCTCCCTCCCTCCCTTCCTCTTTCCCTTCAGTATTGGTCACCGATCTAAGTGGCCAGAATACAAAGATAAATAATTCATCTTTATTTCAGTTTAGTAAGCTCACTGCTAATTTTCTGAATATTTTACGTTTATTTTACCCCTGCAACCATTTTGCCATAAGGCATTCTCTTGAATTCTTTAGAAGTTGATTTGTTTCCTTAGAGTGGAAAGAAAAGTCCAAACGCCCCAAAGTAAAAAGATTAAATAAATAGTTCATTCACTTACTGAAAAGGCAGTACATAAAAATGTATGTAGACTATGGAGTGATTTTAAACAACAACACAGAGAACAAAGACTGGAACGCGTATGTCATAAAGTATGTCTCTGCAGCAGTGGCCCCCACTGCTTTCTTGGGGCTCCACTTCAGAATATTCTGACTCTTCCTACTTCTCTAAATTCTTCATTTGCATCTCCTTCCTTCTCTATATTTAAAAAAGTTTTCCTCAAGATACTCTGTTTTGCAGGTTTCACACACCTTCAAGGCCGCCAAGTATCACCACTGCTCAGGCGACTCCTGCCTGGGGCTCTCCCTCCAAATTCTAACCAATGCTCAGTGTTTGCATCTGGATGTTCTACCATCACCTCACATGGTGCTGCTTCCTCTCCTGAAATGCCTTCTCCCAGTTTCTCTCTTGACCTGGCAGATTTTAAGGCTTAAGTAAAATAATACCTTAAATATTACACATTCCCAGATTCCAACAAACATCTAAATGGCTCTTTCCCCAAACTGCTGACTTTGCCTTGAACATGTTTTCTGTTATCACATTACACTAGAGTTGTTTGCATGTTGGTCTCCTGGTAGACTGAATGCTTCTGGAAGAAAGTGAACTGTCTTTTCATTTTACTGTCTCAAACATCTAGCTGGGGGATGCCTGGCTGGCTCAGCTGGTTAAGCCACTGACTCTCGATCTCAGGGTGGTGAGTTAGAGCCCTGTGTTGGGCTCCATGCAGCGTATGAAGCCTACTTTAAAAAAAAAAAAAAA